GTGGTTTGGGATGGGTTGGTGTTTTGGTGAGGCGCAATGAGGTGGCTGAGTCAACACCATGAATCATGCAAGGAACATGTGAGGGTCAGAATCAACCGCCATAAATCACACCAAGAACATGTGAGGGGCAGAACCCACCATGATAAATCACACCAAAAACACGTGAGGGTTAGAACCAATCTCCATAAAACATGCCAGGAACATGTGAGGATCAGAAACGACCACCATAAGAACACACAATAGTCAGAATCAACTACCATAAATCACGCCAAGAACATGTGAGGAGCAGAACCAACCACCATAAATCATGCTATGAACATGCAACGGTCAGAACTGGTGACCATAAATCATGTCAGGAATACACGATGGTCAGAACCAACCACCATAAATCGCTGTCCATAAAAATGAACTCCAGTTCATTGTAGAATTAATGATTATTTCCGTATTTCCCACTATCATGACAGAATCAATGATTATTTCTGTATTTCCCACTACCATAACAGAATTAAAGATTATTTCTATATTTCCCACCTCCATAGCACAATTCATGATTATTTTTATATTTATTTCCCACTACCATGACAGAATTAATGATTATTTTTATATTCATTTCCCACTGTCATAACCGAGTTAATTATTATTTTTATATGAATTTCCCACTGCCATAACAGAGTTAATTATTATTTTTATATTAATTTCCCCCTGTCAGAGGTTGTGACTCGTGCAGCTCGTGCCTGCTCTGCTTTTCCAGAGAAATGGGAAGTGGGGAGCGCATTCCCCTTTTGCCTGAACGAGCCTGAGGTGCCTGGAATGGGGTTGGGGAAGTGGTTTGGGCCACATGGGATGTGAAAATGTCCCTAAAATGAGCGGCCAAATTCATCACGTCACCCTCTGAGAGCGGCATTTCCCAGAACTGGGGAACGGTTTGGGTTGGAGGGAACTGAAATCCCACCAGGGTACCCCAGGGACCCCTCCTGCTGTCTCGGGGTGCTCCAGGCCTTGGGTGCTCCCAGGGATCCCTTTTTGGGGTGCCAGAACTGATTCCTGATCAATCAGAATGATCTGAAATAGAGCCCAGACTAATTTAAGAGAATGAGAACTGACAACTTTAATCCAGGCCTAACAGCCCCCCTGGTACATCAGGGCAGACAAATCTGAAATGAATTTGTCACCCAAAATGGACCCCGAGTCATGAGATCTTCACCTTTTATCAGTTCTGCCTCATTAACATATTGGGTGTTAATTTTCCAATGATCTTTTCAGGTGATGATGTCACCCACCCCAAACTCGCTCCCCTCCAATTCTCTGCTTTTCCATATTTTGGGGCTCTGAGGTGTCCTTGGATTCAGCTCAGAGAGGAATTGTTTTGTCTAAAGATGGGAGAATGGGAGTTTTAGTGTTGTACCTGAGGAATACAACAATACAGATGCATGAAAATATAAAACCTAAAAATCCTAAGGCATCCCAGCCCCTCCCCACCCTCCCAGCCGGGAATTCCTTCCCAAATCCCATCCATCCCCATTCCCTGTGTCCTGTCCCTCCATCCCTTGTCCTCTCCAGCTCTTCCAGAACCCCTTTACGCTCTAGAAAAATTCTCCAGAAACACCAGAAAATCATTTCCATCCACATCCCCCTCAGCAGGAAAGGCCATTCCTAAAAAAAAAAGAAAGGATCTGGAATATTCCAAATTTTCCCAGTTGTCCCAGCAGGAATCCCAAACTGACCCCGCTGCCTTTCCCCCCGCAGAGGCGACGGAAGGCGCGGCCTCGTGCTACCACATGAACGAGAGGGGCGCGTACTACGGCTACTGYCGCAAGGAGAGGGGCAGCCACGTCCCCTGCAAGAGAAAGTGAGCCCTGGGATTTGGGATTGCCTGGGATTTGGGATCAGAGGCCGTTCTGGATGGAATTGGGACAGGGAAGGTGGGAGAGTGCTGTGGTGGAGGCATCATCGCCTCTGTTGTGGTTTTGTTTTGTGGGAAAATCATGGGGGATGGATGATGAGGAAATGGGGTTAAAATGGTGAGGGGAGAGGGAAAAGGGGGGCAGAGAGATCTGTGAGGAGGATGGGAGTGCAGGGAAATCCAGGGATTTCAAAATCGGGAAATTCTGAGATTTCAAAATTGGCGATTTGAACCTGAAAAGTGAAGGAATTTCAGTGAAATTCCCGTTGGATTTAAAGGATGAGGGGAGAGAGAAAAGGGGGGCAGAGAGATCTGTGAGGAGGATGAGCATTCAGGGAAATTCTGGGATTTCAAAATTGGGAATTTGAACCTCAAAAGTGAAGGAATGTCACTGAAATACCCATTTCTGTAAATTAAAGGTACAGAATTCCCTCCCTAATGAGCTCGGGAGGATTCACGAACCTGTCCACTCTCCTCTCAACCCAAGCAGAGCCAGCGCTCCCCGCTGCAGCCCTTCCCTTGGAATTCCGAGGTTTTTTTTGAATCCCAGAGGAATTTCTGGGATTGGTTTAACACCTCCTGCTCTCCTTCCAGGGACAGGATGTGTGGGAAGCTCTACTGCTCCGGGGGGAACGAGATGCCGCGGACTGGGAGCYTGGTGATCTTCAATTCCTGCAAAGCCAGCTTCCCCAGAAACGGAGAGTCGGACGCAGGGATGATCCTGGACGGGACCAAGTGTGGCAACGGAATGGTCAGCACAGAAAAAAAACCCAGATTTTTTAAAATTTTTCCTCTTCTTTCAGTCTCGTTTCTTCTTTCAGTTCTTGTTTCTCGTYTCTGTATCATTATCTGTACAAAAGATGTTTCTATAAAATAATGATTTTTCATTATCTCTCATCAAAATCTCTATGAGGGAGATTTTTAAACAGGGAATGCTGAGTGGATCCCAAATTTTTGCTGATCTTTTTTCTCGATTTTTTATCCCAAACCAGCAGCAAAGCAAACGGGAATTGTTGTTATTCCCATCTCCTCAGGCTCGGCTGCTGCGTTGTTATTTTTTACCAGCACAAAAATGCGTGGCAGCAGAAACACAGCTTTGTTGGGAGATAATTAATGCGTAATTAAATTTAATTATTTCATAATTGATGTTCCAGGCATCACTGGGTGCTGTTTCCAATTTTTTTTCCCTGTCTATTCCCATATGGAAGGGCAGGATGAGGGATTGGAGTGGGAAGCAGTGACGTCTGCACCTTCCTGCCACTCCCTTTCTACAAAACCCCAAAATGGGAAATAAACCCCAAAATGGAAAATTCACCCCAAAATGGAAAATTAACCCCAAAACACAAAATTAACCCCAAAATGGAAAATTAACCCCAAAAAGGAAAATTTACCCCAAAATGGGAAATAAACCCCAAAACACAAAATTAACCCCAAAACGGGAAATTAACCCCAAAACACAAAATTAACCCCCAAATGGAAAATTAACCCCAAAATGCAAAATTAACCCCTCACCTCCCGCCCTGCAGCGGCTCTGGGTGATTTCCCGAGCTGTTCCCGTGTCCCCCCGTGCTCTCCATCCCTTCACAGATCCCTTCCCATCCTGGATTTTTCCAGTCCCTGATTTTTCTCCTCTTTTTTTCCAGGTGTGCAGCCATGGCGAGTGCATCCACGCCGAGGAGGTGTTCAGATCCACCAACTGCTCTGCCAAGTGCTCCGGCCACGCTGTAAGGCTCCAGGATTTTGTGTCATTCCCTTTAAATCCCCCCCAAAAAATTATAAATATCGACCTCAGAGCTTCTTGCTGATGGGGTTTGAGTCATTGATACGAATCTGTCAAATTTCCAAATTTGGAGTTTTCGTAAAAACAAATTTACCCTGAGGTAGCATCGATGTTTTTGGCCAGGAGATGGACACAACCCCTGTGTTCAGCCCTGACTCTGGCCATAACATCAAAGCTTTATTTATTTATTTATTTATTTATTTATTTATTTATTTATTTATTTATTTAGGTTATTTAGGTTATTTTGGTTTGGAAAAAAAATTTCTGCTCATATTTGAACTTTCAGGGACTTTCAGATAAATAAATCTCCCCTGTAGCGTTTTTCACTGCACAAACCAAAGGCGCATGACTTTAACCCAAACACGTTTAAAGCAGAGCCGTCTTTAACCCAAATCTCCTTTCTGCACCAAATTTTAGCCCCCCCCAAAAAAACCCCTTCAGGATCTTCCAGACCCCCCAAATTCCCTGATCTTCCCCCAAAACTCAGTCTCTGTGCCCTCTCGGCAGGTGTGTGACCACGAGCTGCAGTGCCAGTGCGAGGAGGGCTGGGCACCCCCGAACTGTGACAGCTCCTCCACCTTCACCGGTGAGTGCCAAAATTATCCCAAATTTTGGGATTTGTCCTTTCTGGGCTGGAAGGAGCTGGGGAGMTCCAGGAAAACGGTCCAGTGTGGAATGGTTACTCTAATTGGTCCTGCA